TATGTAGCTTAGGCTGCGTCGCATGGACTCCGCATGGAGCTTGTTCCGCATCCTAGATTTGTCAGCTTTATTGTTTGCAGAGGTCCGCTTCTTTTGCGGATAGCGTTTTTATGGCTCTTGCGATCCAATACAGGTCTAAGGATCGTGCCGTGCCTCTACCTACATTGGCCTATAGCCAGGGCTATTTGCCTATTCGGCCTGTGGGACCAGGCCGTTGGCCTGATCTCACAGGCCACATGGATATTCAGTCCTGTCCTGCCCGGTACCACCGTCGGTACCAGTCCAGTCCAGTCAGTCCGCCGGGGGTATACCTCAGCTGCAGTCTGTATTTTCATTCATTCTTCATTTGCACAGTTTGGAGTACGTGCATATTGAGTTTGCGTTGGAGCTGCGCTGTCGTCTCCAGCTCCATCTACTCCTTCCTCATCCCTTCGTCTTGATCCTGATGGACTGCCATCCCGGCGGGTCAGTCACAGTGCCCCTCCTGTGCCCGAATTCGAGGGTGCCATGTGGCGAAGGGCGTGCGCTGTTGGACAGTGATTTCATGATCTCAGAGTTCGAATTCGAGAGTGCAGTGTGGAATCCTGATGCTCGAGAGCACTCCCAAAATTCTTGCGGGAGTCAGGAGCAGTGTGGCCAGGCCCTTTGTCCATTGTTAATTGCCACTCCATCAAGATGATGTCAGTTTCTATCAAATCTGTGATCTTGACTGAACTTCCTCCCACTTGTGAGTGCACCTTATCTGGATTCTAACTCAGGTCTGTATTTCAAAAGGTCTTTGATGTACCAACTATGGTCCAAATGTCCCACAATATACGTCTGGTGACTCTGGTCCTACAAGGAGTGAACGTCCTCCTACATGCCAGTGCATTCTGATCTGGGGTTAGTTTCAGCAGTTCAGACCTGCATGGGCTGTTTGTGTACTTGTTCTGCATTTAAAGTCCTGCAGAATAATGATGGGTTGATTGCGAGAGACTATGCTATGCTCTCTCTTGAGAAACGAATGGGATCGAGGCTCTGCTACAATGCCGATCTCTCGTCCACATTCTGTGCAGCGCCAAGTCGGGGCGATGTGCAGAGTATTAAGCAGAAACCTTCCGATCGTGAGAGAGGAAATTCTCTTCTGGGCCTTAGAACCCCACACCCCTATAGGGATTAAAACACTTTCAAAGAACACATAAAAAAGTAGAAGATCTAGCATGCAAAACACAGCAATCATGAAAGCTTCCCAGAACTAAAAACGCTAGCTGGCAGAGGGTTGGCAACTGTGACCTGGATGGACGCCGTGTGAATGATCAATCAAATAAGTGTTCTCCATATGACACTTTGCGATGTCTGGCATCAATCAAGGAAGAAATAAAATATAACATCACTTCAGCTCACCGGCGGAAGGGAAGAGCCTGGTAGAGCACATCGTCACTCTCACGACGGATTCCCTTCTGTCCTCTTCCTTCTACTCCTGGACTGGGTGCGCTGGTATGCTAGAGAACTCTACCAATCATCAGTCTGGCGGGCAGAAATTTCAGGAAGGAGGAGCTCCTGTTTCTGCCGCCTCCGTATTCTCACTGATCATCTTACTTCTGCTTAATCTTTTCTCTGCTTCTCAGTTTTACTTCTGCTTCTTGTTTTCACTTTTCTTGTCCATTCTTTTGGTGTTTCTTCCTCCTTCCTTCGTTTTTCTTTTGGGTCTCTCTCTCTTCCTCTTCCTTTTGTGTCTCCATGATAGGACCTCCTTGAGGTACACCTGGGTGGGTACTGAATTAGAGTGTGCTCTCTATGTGTGGTGCTCGTTGTTGTGACTTCTTGTCCATCCTTTTGGTGTTTCTCCTTCCTTCCTCCTTTTTATTTCTCTCTCTCCTCCTCTTCCTTTTGTCTCTCCATGCTAGGGTCTCCTCGAGGTGCACCTGGGGTGGGTACTGAATTAGACTGTGCTCTCCATGTGTGCTGCTCTTTTTGTCATATGCAGTGGCTTGGGGCGTGCTGATGTGATTCTGACTTTGTGTTCAAGGGTCAATCAGTGGCTGCTTCCGGGCTTTTGATATGACGTATCTGGTAAAGCACCATATCAAAAGCATTCCCTTCCATTGCTGTGAACCATAGCCGAGCAAAAGCAGAACATCGCTGTGAAACTTCGATTGTGAACCATAGCCGAGCAAAAGCATTCCCAAACTCAGTCCAATGGAGAGAGAGAGAGAGCAGCTCATAGTCCATGCAGTGGAGAGATGAAACAAGGTGAAGACGATGAACTGCAGTGCATATCTTGAACAAGGTGAAGAAGATGAACTGCAATGAGAGAGACTCAGACAAAAGTCTCAATTCCAATTTGTCCCTGCCTCTTGTGACATCCCGAAGCCATTACTACACCAGCAATCATTTGTATATCTCGTCAAACAGAGCTGCCCGGTGAACCGTAGGCAGAGAGGGAGAAGAGGGCAACCGCCGAGGGGCTGTGACAAACTGTTTCATTGGAGTTTCACTGACTCATCAGGAGGCTGAACCTTATATATTGTCAAACAGAGCTGCCCGGTAATATACATGTACACAGGATGTATATGTATCCTGTTGAGCCTCCTGATGAGTCAGTGAAACTCTGATGAAACACAGCCTGCCACAGCCGCTCGATTGTTGTCCTCTTCTCCCTCTCTACTCACGGTTCAATGGCTAGTTCTCGATGGCGACTTGCTATACGAGTTGCTATACGACTGGCTGTACGACTGGCTATACTACGGGCTATACGACTTGCTATTTGACTTGCCATATGACTTGCCATATGACTTGTTATACAACTTGCAGTACGACTTGCTAGCTCCCTGCTAGGGTTGTCTCGGGTAAGGTGGAATGGCAGTGGACGTGGAAGTCAGTATTCCCAGGCGGTGTGATTGGCGTGGATTTTCTGGCTGTGACAGACCAAAGTGAGCAGAAACTACAATGCACAGCTGCGGAAGACTGAAAAAAGTTCCAATCTGACTCATCAGATTCTGCACTCCACGCACATGCATCATCACACATGAGATAGGCAAGGAGGGGACATACATGGAAGAACGATCCCTCGCCTCACGCACATGGGGGAAAGTACCACAGACGATGGAGGGAATGAGACGAATGTGAGGAGGAGGAGGAGGAGGAGAAGAAGAAGAAGAAGAAGAAGAAACACAATGTGTCATACTGAGTTAATGAAATTGAATTTCGACTCCTTTTCAGTGGAAAAGAAAAGGCAGGGATACAAACGAACTGGCAAAAAGGCAAGGTACCTTTTCTTTGACCCAGTTGANAGTGGAAAAGAAAAGGCAGGGATACAAACGAACTGGCAAAAAGGCAAGGTACCTTTTCTTTGACCCAGTTGATTTTCTGTTTCTGTGTTCTTGCTTCCCCGCTGTGCTGTTATTCAGGCGGCCTGGACTGGCTCTGGCTGCCCAGGTACCATATATATATTGATGCTGGCGGGGAGGTGCCCAGGCAGGGTCCCGGGCAGTGGTATATTTTGAAAATGAAAAGAAAAGAAAAAAGTAAAAAAAATCTGTGAAAAGAGAAGTGTAAAAGTGGGATGCAAACAACCTTTTGCTGAAGGCCACCTCGAAATCCTTACCTGCACTTTGAATGCACGTGGAGCATGTGTCTGGCCAGATGCATTCAGAATCTTGGGGGATGGCAAGCGGTGCAACTAGGCTCATCAGGAAAAAGTAGGCTGGGTTTGAACTGCTCTGGCTACGTGCAATCCTGGCCTGAAGTCAGAACTTTGTTCTTGGATAATGCCTCTTTCTGCCGTGCTTGGTTTTCTGGACAGGCTCCTTCTCCTGTACACCTGACCCAGGCATGCCTGGCCAGGCGTGGCCAGCCGGGCGGGCAAACAGCCTAGCTTCCCGCTGGATACTTCTTTCTCATTCGCTTTGTAGGTCCCTCTTCCTCTCTCGTTTCTTGCCCTCTTTTCCATTCATTCGTACTCGACTGGCTCTCATGTCTTTTCTTCTGTTTTGTCACTGCCTCAAATCATATACTCATTGCTGGCTCTCATGTCTTTTCTTCTGTTTTGTCACTGCCTCAAATCATATACTCATTGGTATGTCTCTTGATATCAAAGGCTTGTTGAGCTCATCTTGTACAACTAATGAAGCTTGATTTTAACTGATTTGCCTTCATCCGGCTAGTCAAACGGTTGCCGGGTACCCAGCCCATGTGGCTGAATGGTACACACATGTAACTGTTACTAATGAAAGGCATTCCACGATGCAGACCCCAAATTCGAATCTCAGGGTCATAATTCCCAGGCCGAGAGGGGTCAGGTTGGCCAGTTTGCTGAAAGGTTACGTCGGGCACCCTAAAGGTCAAGTCCGACAGGTACCCAGTCAACAGTCACATCCAAGAGGCACAAGTCACATCCCATAGGAAGAAGTCGTGTCCCACAGTCAAAGGTCGTGTCTCACAGGCAAAAGTCACGTCTCAGAGCCAAAAGTCATATCCCGCAGGCAAGGGTCACGACTCACAGTCAAGAGTCACGTTCCACAGACCCAAAAGCAGCAGCACACCAAGGAAAACCCAGGAAGGTACTGGGCCTCAGCATTCTGAAGCAAACAGGCCGCGGGAAGCTGGTACCAGGCCCAAGTCAGGCCAAGAGAAGCAGAGGCTGGGGCGAGTCAAGGCTCAGTCCAAGTCAATATAAGGACTTGCCAGCCACATTTCGGATAGATTGCTCATTTGCAAGAACTGTGGAAGTGCTGCTGAGGGCGCTATGTGCGAGTAGCTAACGCTGGAGCCCCCGCTGGGCAGCGCTGTGCTGAGGAAGGAAGGCGGCCATAGCCACATAGCTAGTAGTAGGGGATAGAGCTGAGTAGTAGCGGATCCATTCAGAGTCGAGATCTTCAAGTAGGGAGAGAGAGGGAGAGAGAGAGAGGGTGAGCGCATGCATGAGGAAGAGGGACAGAGAGAGAAGAGAGTCACCTACCTTAGATGAGGATGCTGGTTATGGGTTGCTGGACTCTGTGCCGTTGAGCGTCTGGTGACTGGAACTCTGAAACTGTTTAGTATGAGAATTTGTTGGAATTTGTAAGCTGCGCTTATCTGGACTATGCATCTCTGGTCTCCAGTGTGGACTTCGTGTGATCTCTCATTGTGTGTGTGTGCTCAAGGTGTCGAGCAGTGAGGCTCAATGCACTAAACAGAACATGAGTTCGAATCTTGATGGAATCAGAAGAACACAATGCCTTTTTCTGAAAAAAAGGGTTGCCAGGTAAACTGGAGGGATTCATTGGGTCTTCATCATCTTAGCAAGTAGAGAGATCCTCCCCCCCCCCCTTCCCTCCCCCCCTTCTTCTTCTCATGATCCAGGTTTGCCAACTCATTGGCCTTCGTAGATACAGGAAAGTGTACGACCTACAGAACAGATCCTGTTGAAATAGAGAGATTCTATTAACTGGGAATTTGGTTTTGTTTTCCTGCCCTCACAGAGCCAGTTGTCAATAAGATGCTGCAACAGAGTAATGAGGACTGATCTTGGCTGATCAGCAGTGGATTACACGTCAAACAATTGAGGCGATCAACTGTGTTTCTACCTGTTCCACTTTTTGTTGTGTACAGATGCTCAACAAACATTGTGGCATGCCACAAGCAGCAAGTGTGACATCACAGTGCAAGCATCACAGAATGATTATTTTGGGCGAGTCGTCTCTTGGTGGCATGCTGCACACATGACATTTCTGGAGGGAGGCGTTTTTGGCTGGCACGGCAGGAAAAAGAGGGGTAGCTCTGCCGGATAGACGAGGGGGGCAGTAATGGCTGCACCTGCTTCTCTTCGTCTGCGGCTTTTGAGACCCGACAAATATGGGCCTCGGTCAATCCCTCTGCTGCGGGAGAGCACGCTGATTGGTCGTGATGTGTCGGCGGATGTGACAGTTGATAGTGTTGTTCAACCGGGATGTATAAGCCGCCGCCATGTTGAAATTGTGCGCGTGTCTCGTGAAGATGGAGCTGTGCTTAAGGTTGTTGACCTTGGTGGGAGAAACGGGGTATTTGTATGTGACGGGAGAACTTCTGCCAAGGGGCAGGGCGATGCTGGTGGCACAGCCCAGGTCGACGGAGAGCGGGGGGGGGGAAGGGCAGTCTTGGTGGAAGGAGGGAGTGGATTGCCATCGGAGTCTGGGGGCAAGCCAAAATTCAGGCGTGTTCGAGGAGAAACCTATTTGCATGTCGGTGCACAGATCAAGATTGTCGAATACTGCTGGGTACTTGAGATTGCCAGTGATGGGAATTCCCCTGTCCAGCTGGTGAGTTTTTCTCTTCCTGGTTACACAAAAACAAATTTCGATGCCTTGTAACGCACAGTCCATCTGTGTCAGGTACCTCACATCACATCATGCGTCAAATTTCAGTGTTGATAGCTTACGTTACATCAGAACGTCCATGTTCAGGCAACTGGCGGGGCTGTTTCCGTTGTGAAACCCCAGTACTTGTCGAAGGTCCTATTAGATCTGTAAGATGGTATCTGACCCTGGCCTCCCTGTCTGGACACTTGTATCCCCGAACAGGGTCTTAGTTGCATTACTCACCATCCGCCAACATTGTGAATGCATCTGGACAAATTTGAGGCCATATGCATTCAAAATGTTGGTGGAAGGCGAGCACTGCAACTAGGCCCTTAAACGAAACCTAAGTCGAAGCAGCCTCTATCACTTCCACAGGTTACACATATTTCTTGCCATGTATGATCCCCGCCATGCATCGGGAACAAAACCGTTGTTTGTGGTACAGCTTGAGTCGACAGGAATCCTGTTAATTTTCTTCAGCGAGCCTTTGGTTCGCAGCATCTCCATGTTGTGCGTGAGCTCCTGCCTCGTTCTCCAGTCTGCCTTACACCCCTACATTTCGCGAGGGCGCAGTAGAGACACATACTTCTGAGCCACCAGTTCTTCTGAGCCCCAAAAGTTGTGCCGTGGATGCAGCCGCGTTGCAGTAAAATGGCTGGGAAACGTAGGGGTGGTTTAAGGTGTGTGGTGGGGATCTGCCATTTATGTAGTACTTGAGAAGGGGATAAATTCAGAATGAAGATCAGACAAAAAAGGAAGATTGATAGCTGCAACCAGGGTCTTTGTTTTCACATTTATTTTCATATAGTTGGAGCTTACAGCTGACTCCATGTGGTGCCTGTTATATTCTTGGATGTCCTGACAAAGGGGTAGCTCGCAGCGAAGATGGTGGGGGTGAGAACTGCCTTCACTGCGGTGCAGATGGGTATGAGATGAGTTCTATAGGTTGAAACTTGAGAGTGCAGGGAGAAAATGGTTTACCCAATTGATGGACCACGAATCAGATATTAAACTGATCAGAACAGATACTACACTTGACCTTAGCCAAAAGGCCGAGAACGGGGACACGCGCCTGCACCATCTCTCCGTCCATCTTACGTTTGCGACTTCCTTCCCTCTCCACGATCTTCCTGATTCCAGATTTGCAAGCCCTCTTGGGGAACCCCACTCTGCGCAAGTCCCTCTACTTTGGGTGGTTAGTGCAAACCAGAGGAGCACCCTTGGGTATGTGTTGTAAATCCTGTTGCGTGTGTATGCAGCTGCGGTGAATACTTTCTTTTTCGGCCCATATGACGGATAGTCTAGCGTTTTGAACTCTCAGACCACTTGGTCCCAGATAGATTTTGTGCTCTTCGCATAGTGATAGCTTTATGGGATGTTGATAGTAGTGGATACACACTGGGTTACTGAAAGTGATTCTGAATATCATGCTTGGGACATGCACATGCAGTGTGTGGTGTGTGCCGAGTGCTGTGACGATCGACTGTGCTCGCAGATGTGGGTTGCACAATGTGCTGTGCGGCAGACACCTTGGCTGTGCTGTGCACTCTGCTGTGCACAGTGTGGTCACCTACTGTGTGCGGTAGGTTTTTAATTCTATTTGTGCGTGTCCTCTCTTTTTGGGCAAAATATCACTTGATAGCAAGACTGGGCCGGCAACCGGCTGGTTCGGCTTTCCCGGTCCAATTGGAGCCGGACCAGCCCAGGGGGGATGAACCCGGAAACCGGTTAAAAAAAAATAAAGCCCAATTTTTATTTTTTATTTATTTTTTGGCGGATTCGAAATGCACTCTTCAAGAGCTGTCGAAATCCGTACTAAATTCTGATGGTCGGAGGTCCAATTTTTTTTTGGTGGGTGCCCATTGGGCCATTGGAGGTGGGGATATTATTGGGATATTCACGGAGGTGTGGCTTTCAGGGGGAGGGGTCGAGTAAGCAAGGTTACTTATCCAACCCCCCGTGGCCCAAGAACTTCAATTCAGCAGCAGAGGGCATTCTGGACTACGCCAACAGCCATCGAAATCCCGCAGCCTGAACGAAACATGATAGGAGTGGATCCTTCATCGAAATCCCACAACTTACAGCTTTTCCAGAGTATAGCTCGACAGCAGCACAGTTATGGGTGCAGGTTTCAGCTCGTGCAGGCAGAGCGTTTTCTGTTTGTCTTTTTTTTTACATACGCTGGGTCATCAGTGCCCTCAGTCCAAAAGTATCTCGCCTGCCAGTCTGTCCAGATACATGTAGTGGAGCCAGGTCCGTTCTAGATAGATTGAGAGAAAAATATAGCTTAGGTCCATTCTTGGGCTTGCACCTCAGACAGCCGAAACCCAAACCCATAACTCTTTCCCCAGAGCTTACTGATGTTGCAGAAGCATATAACCTCAGGAGAGCCACTGCTCTTGCATAGTAATTCTCTCGTGGCTGAGGATGGACGACTATCTCTTGCCAATGACAACTGGTCCGTGGTCTGACCACACTATGCCAAATCGAAATATGGGGCCTGGTGGACCCCCCAATTTTTGAGAAAACGCGTGCGGCGGTTGTCCCCCACTGATCTGCAAAGATCAGCGGCTGAGATCCTCCGCTCATTGTTTTCCAGAAGTGGGGCCCAAAAAGCCCCAATTTCTTTTTTTTTTATCAGAGGCCGCAGACTCGCAGGGGCTGGGCAGTCATGGGGATGCCTGTCACTGCCCGGTACTCCCCCTCCAGCGTAATGCGCTGGATTCGACGGGGGGTCTGCCGGGCCGGTCGACCGCCCGGTCCGACTGGCAGGCTCCCGGGTGGGGGAGGGGCCGCGGCCCTGCTTGATAGCCAATAATTCTGGCAGGAACTGTCCTTCAGAACTATGCGCCTACCAATCCTGATAGATCTATCCCATCATGTGGACCAGCAGCACAGTTCAACCACCACCGGCAGGAGAATATTGGGACCGCAACAGAGGCTGCTCCAGATGGTATGGTTCCAAAGGAGAGGTCCACTGACAAATGCACAGAAAATCAATCCTGGCAATCGAAGTGATTAGGAAAGCTGTATGCCAATGCAGTACTTGTGTACTATTTTTTTTTGGTTGGGAGGGGGCCGATCCCTATTGTCTTTTTATTCTTTTTCTTATTTTTGAAAAAGGTGAAGGGGGGAGGGGATGGAGTGCGACAGAGAGGGGGGAAGGGAGAGCAGGTTGTTTGGATGGACGGCGAGAAACGGGGAGCTGATCACT